GCCTCCGACTAAAATAGAAGAAGAGGATTTGTAGTCTGAGCTGGTAGTACTGAGTCCCATCAACAAACCACAGGATCATATTGATGTCCCATGAGGGCAGTAATGTGATTTTCAGTCAGCTAGGAGGGCTGCAGCTTGGAAAACTGCTTGGACCAATCCTTTCATGAGAGCAAGTGGAACAAAATTAGAACTGCCAATCAGTCAGTGAAAATATTATCCATTCTTCACTTTCCTTCCAACTTTTTCCATTAGAAACTCTGATATTCTTTCCTCTTCCTGGATTGTCTATTTTTGTCACAATAATGTAAAAAGAAATTACAGAAATATTAGAATTCAGGATAAAAAGCTGGTTATCCTTTACCAGGTGGCTCCTGAAAAGCTGTGTCACACATTCAGCATGTTGAAACTAATCTTTGTTTATAACAGAGGAAAACTTCACACATAAATATCTAAACAGGAGAGTCAGGTGCAGCCAATAGAAATTATACATGATAAGAATAGCTTATGCTATAAATTGTTAAATTAAAAAGGTTATAGCAAGATAAAATTTGCAAAAGAAAAATTTTATAGAGGTCAAGTATATACTTGCATGTGCATAATGAACAAACAAAAGCCTCCAAAGATAAAAAAAGAACTGTTCACAACCACTGCATCTTAGTTAGTGAATCTGTTCTTTACAGGATTAATGGTTAGTAGTTCTAAACTATATCATGAATATTAAAAAATTAAGGATATATACAAATATATCTTTATTAATGATAACCAGAAAATTTCCTTTTAAAGACTTGAATTACCCTTCGTGTAGAATTGAAACTGAAACCATCAGACTATAAACATAATTTTTTTCCATATGCACAAATATATAGACAAACAGATACAGATATCTCTGTAAATATACCTGTATTCCTTTGTTTGTTCTACAGATCTAGCCTGGAAGCAAAGGTACCCAAGCCACAAAGGAGCTGAACAAGAATCCAGATTTTAGACTTTAAAGCCATTCTTAAACGGAAGCAGGGCTCTTCAGGAAAATGGTTGGCGCCAGAGCTACAGCAGGGCAGGCCAAGGCACCAGAATACCAGGGGGCTAGAGCACACTGAGGGAATGCAAAGTTAACATTACCAGCAATGGACAAATGCCTGTGATAGCCTCATGATATGGTACCCTCAGAGGGCAAAACGTAACTGCTGGGATATCTGCATCAAAAATATGTAACCTGAATGTCATAGTGAGGAAATATCATGTAGGTCCAAACTGTGGGACACTACAAAGTGACTGGTCAGCACCCTTCACAAATACCAAGGAAGATAAGGACCTTACAGAGACATGACAATGAAAGGAAATCCTGGCACAGACAATGGGTATTAATAGGACAATTTACACTGACAAAATGTGAATGAGTTAGGGAGATTAGCCAAAAGGGCTTCACACATACTTAGGGGAAGGAGGGAGAACGGCATATGAAAATTTCACTGTCATGTTTTTAAAACTTTATATGTCTGAAAATATAAAATGAAAGTTTGAAATAAGTTTTGAAAAATTAAATTTAAAAAGAAAAAAGTCATTTTCATGGGAAAGGTATAATTACTATGACTATTTTATTATATTGCTCATCCAAATTATATTAAAGAATACTTTTTATAATTAAGGATGAAATGATGCTCTATAAGTGCTATTTACAAGTAGCAAAAATATTTAAGAAACATAAATACCATCCCAAGAAAAACTATGTAAAAATAGACAGGAAGCTCCTATGGAATAGAATCTCTTTCCCTGACAGTAAATTTAGAAACAGATATTTGAAATTGCTTTAGTATACAACTTTTGAATTAATGTTGATTGAGCATTGAAAACTGTCAATGTACTGATCACACATAACTTTTAATACATAACTTTTTCATGTATAGTAGTTTACTTCCTTTTTCAACTTTTATTCAAGACTTTCTGACCACAGAGTTCACTTAACAAGACAGCCTGTGAGAGGTGAAAAAGTTGTAGGAAACACAAATGAGTACCCCGGGTCGCAGCTAAAACTTTCAGAACTTTAACCTCTGTTTGTAAAGTGTGACGAATAAGGAATGGTAAATCACTTTCCTAGAGAAGTAAACCATGTTTTAGTCAAAAATATGTGTCAGGAAACTTTGTATGTTATAGCCTTATTATCTCCCTTCTAATTTTTGACAGCTTATGCTTGTTCTTTTAAAATATTTTCTATTTTTAAAAAGAAATTTGTTACTTAAAAAGTTTCTGTTGGTACCTGTTGCAGTATATAAGACCATATTCCTTGTGGGGTGTTGGCACACGGACACAGCACACCTGAGGTCTTTACCTTCATCTTCCCTTCCCCCTCCAACTCTTGGTCCCATCCTTTTCTTGTGTAAAAGATCTAGCTCCCTATTTTCTATTATCTACCTTTTATTTTGCTCTTTAATCATTTATGCTATGGGATTTTCACTTAAGAGAAGTCATGGGTGTTTAAGCTTGTGTCTGATTTACTTAATTTAACACCATAGTCTCAGAAGACATCCATTTTCCTACAGATGACTCACATTTATCCTTTTTATGGCAGAGTAGTACTCAATTGTATATAAATACCATGCTTTCTTTATCCATTCCTTTATTGACAGACATCTGCTACAGGATCATTAAAAAGCATTCAAACATTGTAGAAAAACATAAAGAAAGCAACTCTCCAAATTCTGCTACCCAGAGATGACTACTATTATATCCTCTCGGCTCCCACCCGGTACTGGGGATTTAACCTGACATCTTTGCACTGAGCTGTATTTCCAGGCTCGGCTCAAAATTCTGATTCTCCTGCTTCAGCCTCCCAGAATGCTGAAATTGCATGCAGCTCTGTTATTTTGATAGAACTATTCGGGCTCTATTTTCCAAGTATATTTTTATGTACCAGTGTAGTCATCCTATAGAGTTGTAGAATTCAAAAACAGAAGGAGCCTGGGCCTAGTTCAGTCCTTTAAGTGGCTGCTTCCACAAAAACAGAATTGTATATTGCAGAGCTCTATGATTTGAAAGACATGTAGGTTATTTTAAAGCCTTTAATTTTCCAAATAATGCTACAGTATACATCTTTATGCACATATCTTCACATATAGGCTTACTTTACTTAAAAAAAAAACTTAAGTCTTTTACAAACTTAAAAAATATTTTTATTGCAAAAAGGCCTAAAAGTATAATGAAGAAAATTAAAATCTCTACTTTTTTGGTATATTTCCTTCACCAAAAATAGTTCCTCCCATAATCATTTCCTAGTAAATGGCAGCTTAAAAGTGCTAAAACCCTTTTCTCTAAAAATCTTTGTGCAATCCACTAGCAGATTCTGTTTGTTCTCCTTAAAAATAAACAGAATCCAATTCTCTTCAGTCTTATCCACAGTAGCCGTGGATACCATCATCCACCATAATTTCTTCCCTAGTCCTAGAGAACATGCAGCATATAAAAACTTCATAGATACACTTTCAGATTTCAACTAATATTCTAAATGGATCACCTGTAGAAAAACGGATGCAGCATGAGGCCGTAATCTGAAGTAAATCAGACACACATGCTTAAGTAATGCAGGGTTTCTTTTATATGACAAACCCAAAGTGCAACTAATTAAAGGCAAAAATAAAAGAAGAGAAAATAGAAAACAGAGAAATAGATGTTTTACAAAAGGGAAGGTAGCCACGGGAGGGAGGAGGTGGAGGTAAAGAGGATCTAAAAGGAATTCGGATGTGTTTTGTACGTGTATGAGCTCCCCATGAGGTATGAAATCATGTACTGAAAATTATACTGCTAAAAATAAGAAAATATCACATTTCATGTTTTCTGGTAGCATCAAAAATTATTTATAATCGTATGAAATACCCTCCTCTTTTTCTATCATAGTTCTGTGGTGAGGCTATATTTTCATTTACTTTAACTAAAACAATACAATGTAACAGATATCTTTAGCTTAATCAATGAGTTTGGCTGGACTTTTATTAAGATTGATATTCAAGCCATGGGCAAAATCTAAAACAATGCCATTTTTATGATCTTTTGTTTTGAAAGATAATATTTCAGGAAAAATCATATTTATATTGACATATTGTGTCCATTCCTATCTTTAAGTGAGATAATAAATGTTTAAGAACTACTCAGCTTTAATTGATATGGAAATATTGATATAGGAACTAACAATGATTACTGAACCAATAGCTTAATGGTTTTTTTTATTTAGTGTAAACTCCAAAATTCTCACCATAGTTCACACATTCCCTACAGATCTGAGCCCATGTTCTCCGTAATCGCTATGCCCTTCTCTCTGAGATTCCATTTCTAACCATCTCCTTCCATCTTTGTTATGACAGTCTCTTTGATTTTTTCCTTGAATGCACTAGTAGCTTCCAGTACAAGAGCCTGGGTAGCTGATTTCCTTAGTTTTTGGAAAACAGCCTTCCAGAAATGCTATGACTTTCTCCTTTTAATTCTTTTGTAAATGCCATTTTAGCAGTGTGCCGAATATTATATAAATAATATAAAACAGTTCTGTCTTTTTCTGTACTTCTTTCAGTATGCTTTGTTATTTTTTAAAAAATAGCAATGGTTACCTCTGGACTTAGATTTTTCATCAACATCTTGAGGCAAAGCCCTAACAGCAAAGATCCCTCTCTTGTGTTCACTACTACATGTTCAATAAATAGAAACATGTGCCACTGATATCTTAATGTATGTATATTTGCTTTTTTTTTTTTTTTGGTAAGTTCTTGATTTCATTCATCAAGTGTTTTTCAACAATAACATTCTTTAAAATGCAAGTACATTTTTTCCAAAAAAGAAAAAAAAGCGCAGTGATGATGGAAGAAACTGCAATATTAGAAATTACAAATAACTACCACAAAAACAGTACACAATGTATTAATTATTACAACTGTACTACTAACCTGTTTTGAAACTGTCTCACTGTTATTTGTTTCTCAATAAAATTAATTTAAAAAAAAAAGAAATGACATTCATACCTGACACACTCTGAGTGCCTGGTCCAAGACTGTCTTAGTATCAGTGTCATAGTCTGGGCAGGGGAGCATGGCTCGGCTGAGATGTGCCTGCAGCAGGAGGTGCGCTTTGGTGTGAGGGCTGTCAAATGAATGAGGATTTAATTCAATGGGAAGACATTTTGCCAATTCGCTGTTCATATGATCTTCATTGTGTCTTACTGGCAAATCTGTATATTCTTCTGCATCCTGAAACAAAACAATCCATGTTATGTATATTGGATTAGAAGTAAAATGATGAATATACTGCTTAGCTTTACCTGCTGACTTTTAGAACTTGGTTCAGAAAAACCATAAACCACCATATCCCCTAGACTCCTGCATTATTCAATACTCTAAAATACATAAGCAAGAGACAGTGATGTATATAGTATGTCTGAAATTCAATACTCTTGCATTTACAAGGTCAAGAAATAATAGGGAAACCCCAGGAATTACCCATCCCAGTAACAGTGGGACACAGCAGGGCACTGGGAAAGGTAAGCAAAGCGTGTAAACTACAGTGAATACTATGGTATGCTCAGTCCACAATGCTAAAGGGACATTCAGTTTAGGAAAGCTACTTATTTTAGAAGCTCATAAAAAATATCTTATTTATTTATTCATTTTTTTAAAACAATGCTTAAGATGGGAAAGATAAGCAGATCTGGGAAAAGTGTCAAGAATAGGAATAAAAAACAAATGAGGCAGGTAAGTATGATGATGTGAAATCGAGCAGCAGAAAAATCACTGGGAAGTGAACAGCAAGATTTACACTTGAACCTAAGTATATCAACAACCATGTTCAATGTAAATAAATTCTGAGACTGTATAATAAATCATAACTGAGCTATATGCAACTTAGAACCACGTATACTATACCTATACAGATGAATATACTATAAAGATAAACTGGTAGAAGTTATATGGGCAAAGAGAAAATTTCACAATGGAGGTTAAGATTTGAATACTTACCCTGGAATAATTGGTAAAACAACTAGATAAGGGCTAAAGATGTAGCTCCATGGTAGAACATCTGCCCAGCATAAACAAAGCCCTGGATTCAATCTCCAGCACACATACACACACACACTCTAACAACAAAAAACAAAACCCCCAAAAAACCAACTGGATAAAAATCAGACAAGATACAGAAGAACTGAACAATACAGTTTACTAAGTTATTGACATTCACAGAACATTCCACCCAGTAACTGTTGACTAAATACTCATATTCTCAAGAGGACTGAACATTTACTGAGACAAACTAAACTGTGGGCCATAAGACAAGTTTCAAGTCAGATTCCAACCATTCTAAATAATCACCTCTAAAAATTCCAAATATTAGAAACTAAACAACACACTTGTATATAATCCAAGAATCAAAGGAGAGAGAAAAAAGGAAATTAGAAAATAGTATAAACCGAATGAAAATAACAGATCAGAATTTTAGAATGTGAGGGAAAGACTTAGGGGGCAATTTCTGTTTTGTTTTGAGATAGAGTCTCTTCATGCAGCTCAGGCTGGCCTTGAACTCACTGTATAGACTAGGCTGTTCTCTAACTCATAGCAGGCCTCCTGCCTCATCCTCCCAGGGGCTGTGATCACAGGAATGTGCCACCATGCGTGGCCTAGGAAAAAATTTTTAAGACTACATTAGAGCTGATTAAATGTTTCAAATCTATTACCTTAGTTTCTGCCTTAAGAAATTAAAACAAATGCAACTAAATTTTCCTTAAAAGATGATAAAAAATAACAAAATATTGAAGTAAAATAATTGAAACATAAAACAAAAAGAATAAAGCAAATCAATGAAACTAAAATCTTGAGATAATCAGTATAAGTAAATAATTCCTTAGTAGACAGGTCAGGGGAAAAAAAAGAAAGCATATGCCAAAATTAGGCATGAGGGTATAACTACAACTTTTTCAGATAGTAAGTGGAGAAAAACAGACTAACATAAATAATTTTATACTTTAAAAAGTAAAAACATATGAAGTGAACCAATTTGAAAGACATAAAGGACTAAAGTTTGCTCAAGAAGAAATAACCTGACAACCTTTGTAAGTATTAAATAAATTGACTTTATTGTTAAAACTATTCTTCTCATTAGGAAAATTCCATACCCTGAAGATTTCCCTAGTGAATGCTACTGAACATTTAAGAAAATCAACTTTACATGAATCATTCCAGACGATTAAAGAGGAAAAAATGCTTCCTAAGTAATTCTATGACACAGCACTGCCCTTCTGACAAAAATCCAACAATGACATTAAAGGGTAAGAGAATCCCTAATGTCGCTTGCTAACATGCAGAAATTCTATACAAAATTTTAGTAAACTCAATACTGAATGCAGAAACAGTAATACATCATAACCATACAGAATTTCTTCCAGAAAAGTAGAACTGTTTTAACCATAAAAAACCAATAAACAAAATTCATCTTATTAATAAACTTACAAAGAAAAAAAGGGTCACCTCAGTTGGTCCAGAAAAAAATATAAAGTTCAGCATATACTCCTTTGCAAAAGCAAATCAGCTGCATGTTTTGAGTCTACTTAATGGCATCTCTGAGACATCGACAGCTAACAGTTAATAATGAAACAGCAGACGCTTTACTACTGAGATCAGGAGTGAAACAGGAAATTTTCCTCTTACTATTTCTATTCATCTTTATCATAAACGTTCCAGCTGGGGCCATCAGACAAGAAAAAGACACAGCTTCCAGACTGAAAAGGAAGAAGCAAAACTGCCTTTATTTGTAGGTACATCATGAATGTAGAAAAATCAGACGAAATCTACAATAATTTACAAGAACTAATAAGAGAGTTTGGTAAGGTTGCAGAATATAAAATTAATATGACAATGAAGCTGAAAAAACTTAGTGGCATTAAATTATTTATAGATGAATCAGACAATAAGATATAAAATCCTCCATATTAAAAATATGAAACACTTCCAGGATAAATTGAAGAAGTACTAAATGGAGAGATACAAAATATTTTGTTTTTCCTCAAATTCATTGGCAGGTTTAATTTCAATCAGAACTACACAAAGCTTTTCTAAAATTAATTATTGATAGAAATTTGTAGGTTGAATCCCAAATTTATAAAGATATACAAAAGCCTGAGTTTTAGCCAAAACTCAAGAAAAGGAGCCTAAATTGATGAATTAGTGCTATACAATTGAGACTTACTAAAAGGTATACAAATTTAAAAATAATGTTATACAAACAGAATAGGCTACAAATGTAACCATATACAGGTGAACAATTGATATTTGACCAATGCTGAAAGGCATGGTAGTGGAGAAAGAAGAGTGTTATTTTAAAACAGTGATAGAATAACTGAGTATCCATGTGCCAGGGAGGAGGAGGAAGATGAGAAGGAAGAAGAGGAGGAGGATGAGGAAAAGGAAAAAGGAAGAAAAGGAGGAGGAATAAGAAAGGAGGAAGAGAATGTAAACAAAGAGAAGAAAGAGGGTGGAACACTGACCCACTTTATATAATACAAAATATTCACTCAAAATGCATCATACAAAGGTCTCATTTCGTGCTTTGGAAGGAAAAAACGCATGTAGTATTGGCCATCACAGTGCAACAAGAAAGAGGCGACTGACCCGACAGCCTTCCATCATCGCACGACTGTATTGGTCTGTGAGCTACTCACAGTGCCGCTCCCGTTGCACTGCAGATCCGCTTCGCCAAGAGAGGCATTCTTAAACATCTGGAGCCCGAACCAGAGGAAGAGATCATTGCTGAGGACTATGATGATGACCCTATAGAGTATGAGGCCACTTGGTTGGAAGGCCTGCCACCAAATTGGTATAAGGTGTTTGATCCTTCCTGTGGGCTCCCTTACTACTGGAATGTGGACACTGACTTTGTGTCCTAACTCTCCCCATATGACCCCAACTCCATCATTATCAAATCTGCCAAGAAGCTCAGGAACAATAATGCAGATACTGAGGAGAAGTTGGAGCGGAACCATGAGAGGTTGGACAGGGGCCATGAGAAGTCTGACTGGAGCCACAAGAAGCCAGACTGGAACCATGACAAGTCAGACTGGAACCATGACAAGTCTGACAGAGATCTAGAACATGGCTATGACAAAGTGGACAGGGAGTGAGAGCGAGACAGGGAAAGGGATCGTGACTGTGGGTATGACAAGGTAGACTGAGAGGAGGGCGAAGAACAATGTCACCATCGCTGCAAGGAGTTAGCTCCCTACCCTAAGAGCAAGAAGGTGGCAAGCTTAAAGGATGAAGAATTAGACCCCATGGACCCCAGTTCCTACTCAGATGCCCCCCAGGGCACATGGTCAACAGGACTCCCATAGCAGAATGAAGCCAAGACAGGTGCTGACACTACAGCAGCTGGGCCCCTCTTCCAACAGCGTCCATACCCTTCCCCAGGGGCTGTGCTTCGAGCCAACACTAAGGCTTCTTGAACCAAACAGCAGGACTGAATCTCCACCTTCCTGAGCTCTGGAGCTTGCTTCTCTTCCTTTGTTTTTCCCTTTTGCAGTACTGGGATAGAACTCAAGGCCTCATGCATGCTAAGCAGGTGTTCCACCACTGAGCAACACCCCAGCTCCCAGCTGTTTCTAATAAAACTTTCCTGTGATCATGGAAAAAAAAAATGCATCATACACCTAAGTATAAAATCTAAAATTACAAAACTTCTAGCAGAAAATGGAAAATTTTGTTAGGAAGTTTTTTTTTTTTTTATGACCCATAAAAGAAAAAGAAAAGATAGACTGAGTATCTCAAAATTATAAACTTCTGTTCCTAAAAAAGACACTGCCAAGAGAATAAAAATATAAGTCAAATCTAAAAATCACTGCAAAGCATGTGTCTGATCAGGACTTGTATCCAGATTATACAAAGATCTCTCAAAATTCCACAGTGAGAAAATACCTTTTCAAAGAAGTTGCAAAATATTTTAAAAAATACTTTATGCAAATTTATGGTATGATTAGTTTTTAGGAAAATAAATATCAGAATAGCCAAAATTAGAATAAACTTATCATGTATTAGGCAAAAAGAACTGGAATTTTCATATACTACTGACAAGAATGTGAAATGTTTAGGAAAGGAACTCCACATTTTCTTGAAAAAAATCAAACATAACACCTACCATGTGATTCATCAAGTCATTCTTAGAGATTACCCAAGAGAAATGAAGCACACATTAATGTAAGACTTACATA